ATATATTTCAAAATTTTCCGGGGGAGGATCGCCCCCGGACCCCCCTACATTACTCGCGCCTGCGGCGCTCGCCCTCGCGCCTTCGGCGCTCGATGTGCGGCTTCGCCCGCAACCTGGCCCCCTATGCTGTGAAAAAATCCTGGTGAGAACACTGAACCAGGAAATCTTCTATCTTCTTGTCCCTTTCATCTCGTCTTCTTAGGGAAGGCCACTTGCTTCTTATCATGTCCCAGTTAATTATTTTCTCTCTCTTTTGTGGTCTTAACCCTTTTCTGTGCCTTAAATTTTCTGGGTAACACATCTCTTAGCCCCAATCTTAAGTGGTTTGGCAGTCATCTTATCCCTCCTGCCATCAGTGCTTGGGTACATATGTATACATTGTCTTGAGGTGTGTACCTCTTAGATATACATCTTTGAGCTTCAGTTTCTCTCTTAAGTGAAGATGCTCCTTAAGGGTTGTTAAAGGTCAAGTAAGAGGAAGAAGAAAGAAGCCAGCTGTGACATGACAGTGTCAAGACAGTTTTGTAAATGGACGTTCTTATCGAGAACCATCCTGTGAAAATCTAGCTAAATCTTAGAAAGAGCCCTGGCCCCAACAAGGATAGACGCTTTTCGTGTGTTATTATTTTCATATACAGCCAAGGTTTCATGTGCTAGCTGGCAAAATTTGCCCACATCAAGTAAACGTATGAATTGCAATTTTCCCTTTTGATTTTTTGAAAAATAAAAAGGAGACATTTTCTTCCCCTCTGTTCCCCCTTTCCTATGCTTGATCATTTTATCTTATTCATAACTTTTCTCTCCCATCATGTCCCCTTTTACCCTTTTCCCTCCCTTTTGTCACTCACTCACTCACTCTTTCCTTATACTCACTCACTCACTTTCCCAATACTCACTCACTCACTCACTGCCTGCCCCTCTCCCTCCCTCCCTCCCTCCATCTATCCTTGTCAATGTCTTACCTTCTGCCACCTGCCGACCTTCCAGGTGTATACTGTGGGACAGTCCTTGACCTGACATGACCTCTGCAGCCGAGGTTTCTTCATCCCCTGGCAGCGTTCCTCCTCGATGGGCTTGCCTTTGCGGCCCAGACGACAGTGGACCTCCCGCCTCATGGTGCCCTTCCCACAAGTCACCGAACACTACGCAAGGAAAGGTGAGAAAAGTTAGAGATTTCTGAAAGTGCAGTTATTTTTACAGGGACTTCATTTTGCAGCAGAATTAAAACATGGGAAAGGAGGTTTCTATTGTATTTTTAATGTCAAGATTGAAACAATTCTGTAATATAGGAGTAATACTTAAAAATGCTTAGGAAATTTCCTTTAGCCCTTATGTAAAACCTTACAGTTGGCCCTCTAAAACCCAAGGTCACCGTCAATACAAAAATTGTTGAAGAGTTATATTAATTTTAGCTTGTCATCACTTAACTGATATCCTATCATGCCCTCTTTTATAAAGAGGTGTTGAAAACATTGTCTTATGATCAGCAGATTTAACTGCAGATAATTTGTCCCTGGCACCAACTGCCAAGGTCACTGTAAACACAACTTAGGCTACATCAAGTTAATTTGTTCTCAGGCAACTGGCAGAACAACAACACAGAGGGCTAGGGGCAAGGGATCTGCTTTGGTACACACAGTTTTAGTGAACATAATAAATTATTAAGATTCAAGTTTTCTTCTCAGTCCTCAGATTTCACCTTGTCCTTACCTTGAAATGTCTGAGAATCAGGGAAATCAATCAAAAACTCACTCAGCTGTTTGATGACACATAATGACACATAATGTTGACCTTCACACTCTCCTGGCCAAGGTCATTGTTCTCTCACCCCAAACATTGATTTTTAGAACTAAACTGTGACCTGAGGTGACCCCCGAAGGACTTCCATTTAGGCAACACAAACAGGATTTCATGGATGGTTGCAGTTCAGGCAGGGAGTGTGGCCTTTTTTCATTAGACTAGAGAAACGTCAACTCCAATGACAAACAATTTTTAAAAAGTCGCGAACTCCAAGCCTTTCTTTCTCTAAAGCATTCATGGTTGTAAGAATGAAGACAGTGGAAATGCACAACTGCTTTATGGCCTATGAAATTTTTCTTTCCTCAGTCCTTGTTACAGTTAGAATAATCTAAATTTAGATGTGACAGATGTTCTCTTTATAAAGATCTCGTTCCAACATTCCTGTTTTCATAATTTTGGCATAAGAAGCTTGTCTTGTTTCCCCATATTTAGGTCTGTAGAGGATGTGAATCGAAATTGTTTGGCTTTCATACTTGTGTAGTTGATGACACTACATCAACAGGTGCCAATACCCCCCTCTCTTTGATCAAAGCTGTGTTTTCCATTTCCTAATTCTTTCCACACTCCATAATCTAACCTGGATTAACATACTTTACATTCTACTGAGCAGCAAGATTGAAACTGAATCCTGCACATTCAGATCCTGCAGGTTGCTTTGATCATGTTTTAAATTATTGAAGTTTTGAACCAGAACTACCTGCCAGAGTTCTTAATGATTGGGCTAATGGGGAAAACAGTCTAAAGGACCACAAAAAAGTGATATAGCCAGGAGTACAGGTTTGACTGTATATGCAGAGCTATCAATGGTCAGGTAGTCATACACAGGTGTTGTAATTAGTGTACGGGGTTGACTGTAGTTCATTTTTGAGGGGTGAGGGTTTTAAATTAAAGTCTGAAGTGTCCTTCCAAAACTTAAAAGAGTCAGGGCCTAAACATTGGCCTCAGGCCAGCTCTACAAACAGGTACTTAGCCAAGGCTGGGGTGGTGCTGAGTGACTGTTAACACTCTTGGGCAAGACAGAGTCGCTTTGTCCCGTAACTGGTGGGAACACTTGTCTCCCAAGTGGAGAGATGCTGTGCTCAGTACACCAGTATGCAGTGCCACCTAGCACTGATATTGAAAACTGCAGATCAACTGGACCTTTGTACTTAATAATACAACAGTGCTGAGAATGCAGAAGCTGAGACCTTTCATTTGCAGTCTGCTCTGCGTGTAAGAATCAAGGTTCTTTTCTTTTTACAGAGTTCAAGGTCATCACTGTGATCATTCTGGCAGGACAAAACCTTCTACTGCTCACAATGGGCAACTTCACTCTGGATTCAGCCCATTAGTCTCAAGGTTGAAGGGGACTCTGCACTTTTGTACTTGACGGCAACAAGTCGTGACGCACTTTGGGAGGAATGCCGTGGATGTGTGGGCCCAGATGTGAGTGCTTTTCTGCCTCCATTGTCGGGGCCTGGCTGGGTGGGGATTGTTCTGTGGAGCCACTGCTGCTGTGGGGAGGGCAGCGGGACAGAATGGAGCTGTCAGGGGAGAAGGAGTGGGACGTCAGGACTGATGTCACAGTCTCCTCTCTGATGGGCCCACCTGCAGACAGTACCAACAGTCCTCACTCACCACCTGAAGGTCCTGCTTGTCTATAGGACTGGGGCATTCCTTATATTCCACTGGTTTTACAAAAATGTACCAGTGTCTGTGTTTCTTGGAAATTGTACTTTGGATGTGATAAGCAGCATCTTGGCAAGGGAAATCCCTGAAGCAAGGAGACCAAACAAGTTGGTACCTTGACCAAGGTAAGTCCCCCTCCATTTCTGGCTTGTACCTCCCAGTTCCTTGGCATTGTGGGAAGGATGCCATAGAGTGTTTGAATTATTCATTCCCTTATTATATTTCTTGTCGATGACTTAAATTCTGATGAAACATTTCCATCCTTGGCAAACCTAGGAGTATAACATACTGTAATGTGTGTGCATGTTTTGAACTGATAAATTGTAATGTCACTTATTCTCGAATTTTCAAAAATATTCTAGGTTCTCAGTAATAAGATACTACTGCAAAGTATTCCCACAACCAAACAGCGAAACAAATACTCTGGCTTAAAACTTTCACTCCTTTGTTTTTCTGAAAGTCTAAGCCTTTGTCAGGAAGTGTGATTACATTTTTTCTCACACATTTTCTTCACAAATCCAGTCCAAACCAGTCGCACCACCTGTGCAGTATGTTCCCACCATCCAGCTCCTGTCTGTCATCACTCTCTCGCTACAAATCTCTTCATTGTCTCTTTTATGCCTTCTGTCTCTTTTATCCAGGCCTTTTCCTTTGCAACGTTTCTTTTTCTTACCCCCCTCCATCAAAGACTGGGGTCATTCCAAGGGGCAAGATCAGTTTCATGTAGCTGTCATCAGCTACTTGAGACTGAAAAGATGACATTTAGTGGCCATAAATTCTCGCCTGTCTCCCTTTCTGTTTTTTGTGGCTTTCCCTTTGGTAGCCGCTTAAGTGTGACTGTTGGAGTGTCGATCTGAAGTGTTGGTTTGGCTACATGAGTAAAACAAATGGCCGGGCGTGTGAATGGCCAAGTGCAGGTTGTTACCGGGGAGGGGGGATGTGTGTCTTATGTTTCATGCCTGCTGTCTTAAGAAAACAGTGAGAACTAATCCAGCCTTTCCACCAGCAGTGGAGGGAAGAATGCCAGGTAAGTGACACTTGTGGCAAACACCTGGTCTAGGTGAGATGGACTTACCGTGCTCCACGGGTCCGGGCGCCACTTGGGGCAGCGACCGGCACGACACTTCCGCTGTCTTCGTGGCTGCTTCTTGGGGCAGTGATGATGGGGGAGGGTGACGCCAGCGGAGTCCTTGCAGACGACTTCACGAGTCTTCAGCCCACGACCACAGGTCACCGAGCACTGTAAGGGGATAGGACATTGATTTAGCATCATGTATGAGAACTTGAGTTTATAGAAGAACTTGAGTTTTCTGGGTAAGTACAAGTAGTGTGATGCCATGTACAGCAGTTCTCTGATTTCTCTTTTCATATTGTTCTTCTTTGCTTTCAATCTGAGAGCAAAATTAAAAAATGAACTTGTGGGGCTTAAGTGCAAAAATTGTATCTGTAAAGTTACTAATACATACACACACACATACACTAACAGCTTCTGCTGTCAGGAAAAGTAGAGTAGTCAAACACTGCAGGCAGGAAATGACCCTTAAAGGTTTTCTTTCAGGCGGTGTTTATTCTTTAATCTGGACGGCTCCCACCAAGATGGCTGCTGAGATAACCCTGGTAGAATCAACCACCTGTTACAGCAGGTGTAAACAGATACCTGGCAATGTTACCACATCAATCAGGATGGACTTTCTGTCACAACTGTTTCCTTCCGATCCATACCAAGGCCAGTGTGGAACTTGTGTATCTGATAGTTTTAAATAGAATTGTGGTTGGCAAGCAAAATTTAACCTTCTCCCTGCTCCTTAACACAGTAACCAAATTTAGTGCAGTAACCAAAGTTGTAACCAAAGCTACTTCAGCAGGGAGAAGGTTAAAATAAACTTTCTTCTACTACTATCAGTTCCTGTCTGAGAACTATCACTTCAAAATTACTGTAAAATGCAGCTCATCTTTATAATAATATACTATTTTTCTGTGAGACATTGACACAAGTAACTATCTGGCATGGTAAATATTTTTGTTATACTGTACTGTTAACTACAATTACTTAATTTTACAAAGATAGCAAGATGTAAAATCAGGAGGGTGGAATAAGTTTTGTGACACTATTCTACTGACCCCGTTCCCCTAGCCCTGACACCCAACCCTCCCCAGCACCCATTAACGGACAGTGGGGCTGTAGGTGTGTGGTCCGACAGTGGACAGGTATTATCTAGCCCACAAGGGTGCCCTCCCGCCCTTTGTTTGCCCAGAGTGCATCCAGACCCTTCCATAAACCAACAACAACGCTGACCACATTGGGGGAAGGCGGGCGGCAGGATCATTTTTCGAGGAAGGATTGCGGTATATTGGTGTAAATTCTACATGTAGTAATTATGAGTGTTGGAGCAAACTTCTGCTTAGGACAAACTTGCAGCTGACCAAAACTGACAGAGAAAAAATGGTAAGTTGTGTGATCTGTACAGTTAGTATACTGCTGTGACGTGCATAGGGATGTGTGCAGCACGTGAAGTGGACGACCACCCACAACACAAGGGTCAGCCAACCTCCCGCAACATAACGGGGTGAAAAGCGACAAACAGCGAGGAGACAAAACCAATGGGGTTCCCCTGCAACCTCATTCTTCTCTGTCTAGACTCCAACGGCGGACAATTTGGGGCAGAGGCTGGGACAACATTAGCGTTTCAAGCTAGTGGCTGAAACATTAACATGACAAAGCCATGCAGGGATACTCTCCCGTGGCTGGGGGCTCTTCAGGCTGTGAAAGGTGGGTAGCTATTAGAGGTAAGGCTAGAAGACTGGTCTCCTTGTGTGGTGGGGACATGCCTTCAGTGGGTGGTTTGTCTCGCTGGTCTGCCCATTGTGCCAGGACAAAGGGAAGGGAACAGTAAGAAGATGTTGGCGAGGATTACAGGCAAACATGCCGAGGCGACAACAGGCCATCGCCCATGTGTGACCCATACAGAACCAGGCTGAGGAGGGCAGGCTGAATGACAACTATACTTCCCTCACATCAACCACCGTGGAAACTGCCAAAAATGTCACCACTGAAAGATCCAAGATACCACATTTATAAGTATGTAGTTAAGAAGTCTTATTTTTTCCTAATTCAAGCACTACCTTTTGAGGTCTAAGCTTTTTGTCTTCAGAGTCATTGAAGGATGTGAAATATTCTACCTCCCAGGTAGCCTATTGATTGTAAAAAAAGTGAAAAATATGACTGAAAAGAGGGTGAAATTTCTACAATAATTTATTTTTATAATTTCATTGATAAGATTGTGAATGTTGATTTTTACAATCTTAATCTGATTCTTTTTCTTCAAGTTAGATGTGTAGCTACATTTGATGGTATCTTCAACTGACAGCCCCCCGAAAGAATCTCTGTAATATGTGATATTACCTGGTATTACAGTTTTTCTTGTTCTTTGTTCTATTGCTACAGTTACTTAGAATGAGCTTACGTTTTGTCATTACAGAAAAAAAGCATCCAAGATCAGACTTCTATGTAGTTGTGTTATGATAGTTGTTCTATACATAACAGTTGTATGTGACAACAAGGTGTAAAAAGACAAGGTACTCTCTGACCAAGGCCAAGAGATACTCCTAGGAGTCCTACACCAACATAAGCTGAAACATCAAGAGGAGCCAAACAGAGCCTGTGTACTGCAACACTTCAAAGGGATACTTTTCATTCTTAATCTATCATAACTATATGCTGTCTCTCAAGACTATACTTAAGAAAGTGTGTTCCCTGCTGTGCTCAAGATAAGACTTTGTTTTAAGTGACACATGATAAGGTGGCTGGTATCTTTAAGGGGTATGCTGCAAGGGCTTTTAAGGTGATGTTTTTCTTAGGTCTATGGAACTGTCAAAGATCAAGGAGGAAGTATTGACTTAGAGAGGCAGCCTGAAGCCCACCTGGGCATCAGGTAGCACCCAGGTATTCCCAGGTGAGTAATGTACACACCCGTTTACACCTGAGGGTGGCCAGTTGTGGTCATGCCAGGTGAGAAGGTATGTTAAATACAACAGCAGCCTCGTGCAGGGGAGAAACCGTCAGCCCAAAAACAAACATGTCGGCATCAACAATCAGATCAGGTGTTGGGGTAATCAAGTGCACAATAAAAGCCTGCAGACATGTTGGACAATGGTGGAGGGGCAGTGACAATAACAGCACTTCTAGAACCAGCACTTCTAAAAGCTGCAGGGTACCGGGAGTGAAAGGTTAAGCATGTGTGTGTTTTTTGGGGGGGAGGGGGGGTAATAAGAAATGCTGGTTATTCCCACTGAGTAAAGACATTTTTTTTCCAAAGTTGAACACTGAACGACATGTTTGGAGGCCCTACCATCAAAGTTTGGCTGTATGTACCTAGTACAACAAGCAATTTCACATATCATGCAAAAAAGCAAACTTTTATACTGTGATACTCTATGATATCTGTCACAACTTTAATTTAACAATTATTGAGACTTATACTTGAAAGATGCCAATTTTCACAATTTCCAGATGGAGTGTTTTTCTCACTGTATATTGGGTGAATATGCTGAAAGATAACATAGTTGTTTACAGGTTTTAAACCAAAGCAAGATAACCAATTACCCTTCTTCTAAAGGCTTCACTACCAGACAAGAACATACATGTTTTCTTTAAGACAAAAACCTGACAAAATAAGTCATCGAGACAACAAAAAGATTTGCTCGAGTTAAAAAGTTATACGATCACTACATTTTGAATAGCACAGACCAGACAACCTTTTAAACTATACTATTTACACTAGTTAAAAGGTCATGTATTCACTACTTTTCAAAGAGGGTAGTCAGCCCTTGCCTGTTGTTGTAGAGAGAAACCCCAAACACTGGCACGTGAGTTGAGATACCACAACAAAGGTAGGAATAAACAATCTACTGGCCACTGGCCATTACAAACAAACCACAACATCTGTGGTTGTGCCCAGAAAACTGCCATGGGTTATCAGGACTCAAGATAACTGGGCGCATACGCACTTTGGTACACCAAAATTAGAATATTATTATTCTTTTCATCCGCTACAGTCTACAAGTTTGTATGTGTCATACAAAATCATCAATTCACAGCATAGCAGGTCCAATTATTATACAATGTATGTATGTATCAGAAGTGATTTACAAGAATACAGTATGAAATTGTAGCCTCGATCAAGTCACAATTATAGAGTATCAGTGTTGCCAGAATTATCTTCAAGACAAATCTACCTCATGATCATTGTATTGCAATCTCAAAACAAGGAGGGAACCAAGAAGACTAGACTTCCTTCTGCAAGACTTGATCAAAATAAAGATGTGTTTTTCAAACCTTGGAGTGTTCTTTCTTTTAAGGATTTAGTGCTTTATAATAGAGGTTAAGGCTTACACTACAAAATTCTTTATTCCTGCCTGCAACAAGCTTCAATCAGAAAAATCCAAAAGCCATAATTCACATCAGCTAATGACAGTTATTGTCTTATCATAATCTTAAGTGTTCCAAGATGTCTTGGGGTCTGAGAAAAGCAAGTAAAAGAGATTACTTAATGACCATTGATATAAGGTGACAACAAACACAGGTAAGATTAAGTAACCTGTTGCTGTGAGAAACAAAATTGGACAAGGTCATCTCAAGGTCAAGAGGAGGAGGAGGAGGCAGGGCCAAGCTGCTGATGAAGATACCAGGTAAGTGAATCAACCAATGAGCAGGCTGGACTAGCTATGATTGACAGTAATTATGATTAGTAGCCTTGAAGCAATATCTAATTTGACATATAATAACTTCCACTGTATGGAGTTAAGTCCTGCGTACTACAAACGGCTAATAGCCAGTTAGCCTGCCATTGAATAAAACCTATTGAGGAAGTGCCCAAGTTCACCCAATATCACATTTGCACAGCTTAACACTAAATTCAGTGGGCCACCTAAGCATAATTTATTCACATATATTTATCGAGTATTGGGCAAAGAGCAAAAGTTGCTTTGCATTACCCAAATTATCTGGATACGAATTATGGATATAAAATAGCTATGAATTTTGATACATCACACCAGCTTGCCTACACCTTATCTAAAATTTGTATGCAGGAACCAAATAAATACTACTACCACCTTGAATTCTACCAAATCACCACACACAAATGAAACAACTACAAAGTTTGATTCATACAAATTCCTGACATTTTAGTGTGAAAGGGCTAAACTTCATTGGGAAGCAGTTCGACACAGAAATGGGTAGCTACAGAAAAGATTCAGCCTTTCCAACATCTGCTTCAATAGTTGAAGAGCTTGAGCTTGGCCAGACTTCACTCTAGACCATGAACATGACTGCACAGGGACTGATAAAATCAGGTCTATGTGGACAGGTAGTCTATCAAGACATGATTCTTGCCTAGGTCAATGGGAATAATTATCTACATTTGTAAGGGACCACCAAAAAGTCAATTGATGAAGTCATACTCTAGTAGAATTAGTAAATGAGTGACATTTTGTGCTTGCTTAAAGTTTCAAGTTCTCAGGATAATCAATAAAGTAAATCTGAACCTCCTTTGCCTGTATGTTGTGTTTTCCTATCCTGTCCTATGTAAGTATAAATCAGTGGCTAAACTTCCATATAATTGTCATAGGTAACAATGTTACATACATGTACTGGTAAAGAAAGTGGAAGATACAGAGTACTCCCCCATACAATGTACGTTTGTCGATCATAGAGAAAAAAGGTACAGAATATAAAAACCTCATCAAGGCAGGAATGTTTACGCACATGTACATGGGGCTTTCCTTGCAAAATCAGAATCTTCATGTCCCATATCTAGAACCCTATCCGTCAACTGCCAATCAAAAAACTCTGCCCTTTGGTCTAGACTCAGGGTGCTAATCACTGAACCACACTACATGTACTGTTGTGCTATTACCACATATGTAAGGAAGTAAGCAATCAGAAATATCAAAGGTAAAGAACTGTCAAGTAACCCTAGTAAAAGCAACTTGATCACCTGTCCTGATATTGGGTATGACAACAAGAGAGACCACGCCGCATGCTTCGTACGAAAAATATTTAATTCAACATCAGATTCTGTACACTTTACATACACGGGTTGTCGGTGGCTAGTGCCTGTATTGTCAGGCGATGTTGGTCATGTGAATAGCTCAACTAGCGGGCCACACAAAGTTAGTTACTTCTTGCACAGGCATGTCCTCTTGTGGCTTTGTGATCATGTCTAGCTGGGCATTACGATTAATACATACTGGCTAGAATTTCTGGTAGATTTCACAGGAAGATTTTCAGTATTGTGTTCTTTGATCTTTCTATAACAGCACTTTTCACAAATCATTTTGAAATATCTGCCAGTGGAGGTGGTAGCACCAATTTTCATAATTTTTAGCACATGACAAAAACAAACAATTCCAGCTTATCACATTTGCACAAATAATGTAAGCCTGGCAAACTATCCGAATGCTGGGGCAGCCTTTTGGCACCAAACTTGTGCTGGCTATTGGCAGGGGGCAGGTTAATACAAGTAATGAACATTGTGCAGCCCAAGGGAAAATGTTAAAAGTACAAAACCCCTGACAGAGCCTCAGTACACCCAGCTGAGGGTTTTTAAGAACACCTGAGGTAGGCTTGGAAGAGTGCAGTAGTTAAAAACTTCAACAAGTCAACTACAGTACCAGATAAGACAGGTTTTATGTTGAAATATCAAATAAAGACACATCCTTTTCCACATCACTGGAATGACTGTATTTAGCACCAATTTATAGGAAAAAAATGTCTCAAGGATTCTGATGAAAATCACATACAAGAACAAAAGTGCTGATAAAATGTGGACGGACAACAGAATGGGGAATGTATTTACATGTAGCACCATTTGAAATGTTCCCAAACATCATCACACAAGAGTTGAAACAATGAGAAAAATGGACTGGAATGTTTTTTAATTGATTTTTTAACACTTTAATTGATAAATACAACCAAAAGCAAAAGTGTGATAGAAGTATATCACAATACAGAATTAAATCATCTTTTTTGCCATCATAGTATTTAAAAGATTTGACTACAAAAAAAACATCTTAAAGCACAGTTCTTGATGTATCAATTACAAAGAGCACAGCTCCAGCTTTGACCAAAAATCTAAACAAAAAGACCAAAAATAATTAAATCAAACTCTTCCCCTGACAAAGGTTACTGTATCATAACCATTAGAATAATTGAAAATTCTTGGTTGGTTCAACAGACGTCCATTAAGAAAAAAATCTCGAAAAGAAGATTTCTTCTTTTGGAATACAATTTCACAATTAGAACTGATATTTGTTATGAAAAACAAACTAACTCAAAGGAAAATGTGTTTGGCAATGCAGTACAAATTTTGAAATGCTCCTTTGTGACTCTTCCTACCAAAAAAAATGAACAAAAAGTTGGTTTGGCCCATGCTGGGTGTACAGAGGCTGGTCTGGGGACAACATTAACATCGAGGTAGTCTAGGAGGGAAGTCGGCAGCACCAAGTTGGAATCTCCCAGTCATCCGCAGTCTTCTTCAGTTGGTTCAACTTGACAAATGAGTTACGTCTTACTACGTCCTCTCTGGAGTATATATATTTACAAAACATTCACACACCTGCCAGCACCACAGTTCTCTCATCTTACAAAAAAAAATTTAACAGGCTCAAAGAAAGCGATAATATTATAAACACAACTCCAGATTTCTCAATTTTCAAACATGAAGATGTAACAAGGAAACATGATTATTTAGAAATGAAAAAAGGGAACACAACTTGCTATACAACATAAATAGCTAGCATCCACGAACAAGTATTGATCCAAATTTTGAAATTATCATTAGATAAAACAGAATTAAATAAATTCTATACAGTCTTGAAATTCTTGGGTTCACTGACACTGGTCACAAAGAAGATTTTTCATTGGGATATCATATAATGTAAGTTTTCAAGTACTTAATCAAGGAAACGTGGCAGTGAAAATGTTAAGAATGTTTGCAGTGATAAATGAAAAGACCACAAAAACAGTATTTCAGGGAATTTTGCAGCACCAAAAAGTATCACCAATTTTGAGTTTAAGGGGCTGTACCATGTTTGCCAAATTACTGAAAAAGAGGTCATCCTTGGGTTTTCTGAGCCATTTCACAAGACCTGTAGCATCAAACACACCTCCTGGAAGACCTTGAGACCAACTGCCTTCCTAGCTAGGCTAGTGTGAAGCTACAGAGAGCCATCTGTAGCAGTATCATAAACCTCAAGCTTGCTTTTCAAAGTTTTAGACTTGATGAAATCAATCTGAACTGCTGAAAATTTAGACATGTTTCTTCCCACACTTCTGTTGATATGGAGAGTAAATATGATAACACAAATTTGGCACCAAATTTGTCAGGTTACAGGGTTAGGCAGCCAGGAGAAGGCTTAGTAATTACTGCAGCTGAAACTTCCTTTGCCAGCATTAAGAGTGATAGCTTCTATTTCTTAAATTTGTTGTTAAAGTTAGAGATAGTCTGGGCTGTTGACATGTCTTCCTTGTAATTCAGGGTCAGTGAACCAGATCATACAATCTCTATAGAGTAAGGAATGGGAACAGACATGGAAGGAACCGACAGTTTCAAATTGCTTATGTCTGGGGGTAAGACTTCTTTTAAATAGACGGTACTGTAGACAGCCTCTGATAGCCAGAACAGCTCCCTCTGTTGTAAAATAAATTTTGAGAAGATGTCTCCATTCTTTTTTTCACATCATGCTCTGAATATGTCACAAATCTTTGCAGCACTTTTGACAGCAATTTTAGGTCTTGAATACTGGGTGTGTTTCTAGATACAACACAGTCTAGATTTTGTTTTTAAACTTTATGAGCTCTGTAGGTGTGTTAAGATTTGGGACACTCTTGGGCATGTTACAACAGTGTTGGTTCCCTGCATGTCTGCTGTGCCTATGATTTCTCAGGTAGACAAGACTGAGTAGAGACTATACCGTTGACCAGGGTCCTCTGTTCCAGCGGGCAGGCCGGGGGCAGGGGTGGTGACTGCACGGCTGCTTGTCGGGCGGTTTGTCCAGCACCTCACACCCGTGGTCCGACAGGATCTGTCCATTTGGCAGCTGGCAGTGGACGAGTCTGGTCTGGACGCCGCTGCCACAGGATACAGAACACTGCAAGGCAACAGCCAATAGTTTGACACTGCATAGTTCTGTCTGAACCTTTGTTCAATCTTCAGAAGCTCAATTCTGCCTGCAGGACACTTTCCTTGATCATGAGGTCATGAGTTACATGTAGGAGGTACGGGTCAGAGAGAGTACAACAAATATATGGATTGATTATCATTTTGTCAATAAATCAAATTGACTTTTAGCAAATCAACAAAATATAGAATGGGAACCTTACACATAATTGGAAAAAAAACATATTTGTCTTGTTTTCTAAGTCGTTGGTTCTTGAATTTTAAGAAGATTATACTGAATCATAATTATTTTCTGATCAACATGAAATCATGAGTCTGAGAGGAGAGTCAATACCTTGGTACACACGGCTTCTGAGGGGGAATAGCTTTAGGTTTGAGAACCAAAGGAATACATTGACATGGCCTGAGTTAATTAAATTATCTCAATTAGCTCCTGATTTCCAAGAACCCCCCAAGACAAGCTCACCAGTCTTGATGATGGATGGGAGGAAGGAGATGTTTACAGATCAAACGGCTTCACTCTTGACACAAACACCACCAGTAACTGATGCCAGAAACAGATCTAAATATATATTTACATGTAATACTATCTAAGGAAATTTGCAAATTTTCTAATCTGGGTGACATAGTAATACTAGGCGATCTAAATGCCAGAACAGGACGGCTTACAGAAACATATTTTGATCTAGACACCTCCAATGAGTCCAAAACAAACATACCTTTTGATATAAAAAACAGAAACAATAAGGATTGTAAAGTGAACAATTATGGAAATTGTCTTATAGAATTGTGCTCTTCAGCAGATTTAGCCATTTTGAATGGCAGATTTGCCGGGGACCTCAAAGGTGATTTTACTTGTTATCATTATAATGGTTCGAGTGTTGTCGACTACTGCATTACTCAAAGGTCCTTGCTAAATCATATTCAATATATGAATGTCAGCTCCATATCACCGTTCTCCGATCACTGTCATATCTCCTTTTCCATGTCGACAAAGTACTCTCCACTTGTCTTGAAAGATAGTAGTCATGTAAACCCAAAGCCAGTGCAATATCTCTGGAATGACGAATCAAAAGAATTATTTATAGATACTTTGAATAATAACGATACACGTTCTAAACTGAGCGATTTCTGCCAAAAAAAATTTACTTCAGCGGAAAACGCCGTTACAAGTTTCACAGAAATTCTACTGGAGGTTTCAAAAAGATCTTTAAAGATAAAACGTCATAGACAAAACAACAAAACTGTTCATGTTAAAAAAAACAAACCATGGTTTGATCAGCATTGTTGGTCCCTACGTCAACGATTAAAAAAACAATCGTCTATTTTGAAAAAAGACCCTTGGGCACAAGATAATAGATCAAGATATTTTAGTACTCTGAAAGAATACAAAAAAATGATAAAACAACAGAAACGTTATTATAAGATTGAGCTTTTGAAGAAATTGGAATCATTGAATGAGAAAAACCCTAAAGAATTTTGGTCATTACTAAATTACCTAGACACGGAAGTAAACGGAAAAAACAATAAGAGCTCTGTAGATCCCACCATTACAGCTGAACAATGGATAAACCATTTCCAAGACTTAAACAACCTAGTGAGAAATACAAGTTTTGACACTGCCTTTGAAAAAACGGTCTTTGATCATTTAGAATATTCACAAGACTGCACGCCAAATTTATTAGACTTTCATTTCACCCCACAAGAAGTTTTAAACGGTTTAAGATCACTGAAATCTGGGAAAGCATGCGGCATTGACTCCATTTCAAATGAGATGCTAAAACATGGGTCAGCACAGCTATGCCAGTCACTGGTAACATTATTCAATACAATTCTATCAAACGGCAAGTTTCCATCAAACTGGAATACAAGTATTCTCACTCCAATTTTCAAATCAGGCGACAAATCTAATGCTGACAACTACAGAGGAATCGCCATCTCAAGCTGCTTATCAAAATTATTTACTCTATTATTGAATACTAGACTACAAAACTTTATCGAAGACAAAGGCATACTAAATGATACACAGTTTGGATTTAGAAAAAAGTGCAGAACCTCAGACAATGTTTTTATCCTTAAATCTCTCATTGAAAAATACACACAAAAAAGAAAGGTAAATTATTCGTTTGTTTCGTCGACATGAAGAAGGCTTTTGACAGTGTTTGGCGTGATGGTTTATTCTACAAACTGTTGCATTATGGTATAGGTGGACATTTTTTCAATGTGTTGCGGTCTATGTACCTGGATGTTAATTATGCTGTTAGACTACAACACGGATTGTCGAATCCTTTTGTTTCTACATGTGGGGTAAGGCAGGGGTGCAATCTAAGTCCTTTATTATTCAACCTTTTCATTAACGACCTACCTTCATGTTTTGATCCAAACAAATGTGACCCTGCAACTTTAACTTCTACATCACTTAACTGTTTATCTTGGGCGGACGACCTCGCCCTAATCTCACTGTCTAAAGAAGGTCTACAGAATTGTATAAACAATTTAGAAACATACTGCAATAGATGGAAATTGAGTGTTAATGTAACTAAAACCAAAGTTCTTATATTCGCGAAAGGAATACCAAACAAATGTCTAAATAGATTCTATATATACGGAAAGGAAATTGAAGTTACCGACAGCTACACTTATCTCGGTATACCTCTCACGTCTTCGGGCAAATTTAAAACCGCCAGAAAATATTTAAAAACTAAAGCAATGAGAGCGTTATTCAAACTTAAATCCCTTTTGTTTTCTGAAGCTAACATTTCAATTCAATTAGCAAAAAGCCTTTTCAACAAATTTGTGAAGCCGATTTTTCTATATGGATCCGAATTAACTTGTTTCGACCAAACATCTAAAACACTAAAACTTAATGTTTCTACGCGTATTTCAGAATCCACACCAAAAAAAATTTTCTCCACTGTATTAGAGAAACTCGGTATAGAGGAAACATTTCTGCCTCGGTTAGAAAGAGTTTAAGCTCCTCTTGTGCCCACACATATGTGATTCATTTTGAAAGAAGGACAGATAAGGACATGTTTTTTAATCTAGCGTCTCGTCTAAAATTAGAAAACGACAACTTTTCAATTGAAAATATACATCTTTCTCAACATATTCCAGAATTTGATGCCATCGATATGAACTTTCAAAAATTTTTACTTAGAGTTAATACAAAAGCATCAAATGATGGTGTTCGTGGAGAACTAGGAACCTTTCCAATAATAATAGATACTGAAATACAATTAATAAAATACTGGCATCGTTTTGTTAACTTGCCCGAAGACAGCTTACTTCGTGAAGCATACGATGTTTTATATTCTGGTAAACACGATTGGCTTAACCACGTAAACGACATTCTGAATTACAATGGTCTTGGACAATTCTGGACGAACCCCGGGTCATACCAAGTGGATACGATAACCAATCAATTACGATCCCGCCTTCAAGATATATATATACAAAAATGGTATAATTCTATTAGTAACAACGCAAAACTTTCTGTTTATACCGCATTAAAGGAAAATTATGGACAAAAACAATACCTCTCAAGTATACACAATCTAGATATTCGAAAAGCGATCACAAAATTAAGAATTAGTTGTCATAAATTAAACATAGAAATGGGTCGATACAAGAAAATACCAAATGACCAACGGTTCTGTCCATTTTGTCCAAACATGATTGAAAATGAGCACCATTTTATGATGGATTGTACACTATACAATGATAAGCGCCTATTGCTGTTCACCTTTCTTTCCGCTTGTTCAATTGATTTCAATACGTTAGATGCTATAGATAAATTCAACTACATTCTCAGGGGAGATAACCAATACAGTGTTCAAATAGGAAAATACATTAAAGAATGTTTCGATCTTAGAGACCACATGTTAGAGAATAGTTAACCTTTATTGTTACATCATACATATACTCTGTACGTAAGATGACGTTATCCACACATGTATGTAGCTTTGTTAGATCTTTAGTTAAGTTGTAGAAGACCATACAAAAGTCTCTGTACTTTTTTGTTGTGTCAATAAAGAATCTGTAACATCTCTCACAATGCAAAAATAAGTATGTAAATGCAGAAAAGATTGATTTGTTATTAGAAAAATATCAAAAACCACAATCATCCCCAGAAACAAAAAATCTGCATTGTTTCCTCGTAAAATATCAGGAGTAAGACTTCAGACCTGTGTTAGGGTAAGACCCTGTGGATTTCACAGCTGTGAGGGTTGGAGGGAGGGAGTACTTTCCTATTTCCAGCTGTTGCCACCAGGAGGACTTCCCATGGGTGCTGATAGCATCAAGACCCAGGTGGACCTCCTGCTAGCAGCTGGCTGATAATACAGGCAGGTGAAACTCATCTGTATCCAAAACCCTTATCATCAGAAACATGAAGGATTCAGTTTTACCTGTCCCCACTGCCCGTAGTTCCATATTGGGCAGGGGCCAGCGTTACATGGTGCCATTTCTGAGGGTCGTGTGGCGTCGTTACAGTTGGAGCTGGGGTGGCCATTCCCGTCCTGACACTCCACCGCTCTCCGCTTCCATCCTCCCGCACACGTACTGGAGCACTACGAGGGGCATGAGGGAAATGTTACGATCAAACTTCTCAAAGTTCTGCCTTAACTCCAATGCCTCAATATAACTTGGTATTTATTATTTGGGATATACTGGGTGCATTTCGAGCCCTGCAGGTGAAAAGCTTCTAAGTGAATTGTGTCTCACCCCTCCCCAGGGTCCTTTTCTCCACTGGGCCATCAGTCCTGTTGGGATCCGGTTACTGCTGATGCTGGGGGTCGGGTTGTAGTACCGGGAAATGTCGCAAGGGTTCGCGTTGCACACCTGCTCGCTGACAGGGCGCTGGCTGGGGTCGCAGTCGATCTCATCCGCAATGTTTTCCTCACCAGGGAATACACAAGCGACGTAACGGGTCTGTTTGCCACTGCCACAGCTAACTGGGCACTGTGGTAGGACCGGAAAGATATTATAAGATCACTGTGCTACAAGTTCAAGGTTGAAACATATTTACCATATAATAGTTAAAGACTGGAAACAGTGTCATAAATTTGCAGTGGAATAGTCACCCTGAAAATGACATCTCTGCAAACATTTTAAGATTTTCAGTATTCACAGACATGTCGTTAATTTTGACCCACCCTGTTCCATTCGCCAGTTCTCCACTGCCCCCCTCCGCAGGATTTAGGGAGGCAGGTCTCCTGGGCAGCAGGGGAGGGGATGTGGGCACATGCTGACTCGTCCGCAACGTTCCCGTGGATGTCTCGACAGCTCACATACCTCTGTCGGAGTCCCTGACCGCAAGTTACTGAGCACTGCATGGAGACAAGGCAAATGTCCAGAAGATTATAAACAAGTTTGTATCTTGGGGGGATGAGCGATGAAACCTCTCCTGGAAAAAACATGCAGATGCAGCAAACTACTTACCAGTATAGCCAGTGTTGTATAATGTGTATTCTGGTGATGTGATGAACAACATCAGCACAATCTGCTACTTGCCTGGTGCTCCAACATGTATTATGCTGTTGCAATTTGAAAGTCAAAGTCCCTTACCTCAGTCCATGAGCCAGTTCTCCACTCTGTTCTGACCCAGACGGGTGGAGGAGGTGTGGTGGGCAGGATTTCCAGGCACGGAGCAAACTCGCAGTCCTCGATGTCAACATGCCTCGCAGCAGCATCACACTCACTGTCCTCAAGTTCCTCCCCTTTGGGAGTCCTGCAGACCACAGCTCGCAGACGGTAGCCACGGCCACATGTCACAGTACACTGGGGTGGGGGGGGGGGGAAAGAAACATTTAAGGTCTAACAGTTAATATCTAACATACAATGTATCAACTTAGATACTCATTTAAATACGGGTTACACTTGTCTTCCCATTCTCAGACACTGATATGTGAAATGTCTGAATATTAAGGCAATTTATCCAGTTGCTATGGGTTTTTTTTGTATGACATATTATCCTAATAATTACTACTTATATCAGGTTTTATCCAGGATTTTGCCTAGGTAACTGACCTGTCCCCAGTTGCCATAGTGCCAGGTGGGACACTCCCCCAGGTTACATGGCTGCTTCATCTCAGGTCTGGAGTCCACCTCACAGTCGCTCACATCTACCTCCTGCACGCCGTTGTGGCAAAACGCCTGGCGATGTCGAACACCGTCTCCACATGTCACCGAACACTACAGGAGAGAAAATTATTCATACATGTAACTTTTTTTTTAATCTTGTCTGCCAGTGGTACACATATGACCAGCTGATGGTAATTAGTACTAATGGTTATTCTGAAGAAAAAAATATCGTCTCTAGGACAACTTTTCTGCTTTTCTTTGTACAGTTGTTGAAAACAGGGACTTTCCTTGTACATTACACATATATGTACTCTACCTAGTGCCTGCCTACTCCGTGTCTGTTCCGTTAGCTAAACTTGTTTAAGACGTGTTGATGGTAGTTATAGGAAGGTAAACTCACCCCAGTCCAGTCGTTGACGACCCACTGTGGGCAGGCATGGTCGTTGCAGATCTGGTCGACTATCCGGTTGCTGGCATCACACTCGTCGTGAGAGACCGGGTTCCCACTGCTGTCCAGGCAGCTGGCATCGCGGAACCGGCTGCCTCCGCCACAGGTCCGGGTGCACTGGTGACACAACGTACATGTACTTTCATTTCGTGCTGTGAGAGGAAAGATACTTAGACTGACCCCCCTAAGCACTAAATTCTATTGATGACATTCTCTGCAAACTCAACACAATGCAAGATGACAACAAATTAAAAGAGAAACTTGTCCAATGACAAAAAAAACTACTTGAAGTTGCCTAAATAACAGGCATTGAGAAAACAATCACTGTAATAAGACCTGAAGCTACAAACCATGGTGCTCCAACTTGGGCACACTGAAGATCCCACCACTTATTGGAAAGAGTTAGGTTGAATAAAAAAGTTACCTCAGACCACTGTGTGAACTCCCAGTGAGTAGGCAGACATTCCCCAGAACACCTCTCGACATCCGAGGGTCGCTGATCCTCACAATACTTGTCATCCACGACGATCGGCTGGCTACTCAGGGGGTTCTTAACACACTGGATAACTCTGGTGACAGTTCCAGTTCCACAGCGCACTGAGCACTCACTGGTATGGGCTATCACCCACCTATGGGAGGAGCATAATATTGTAAACATTATGTTGTTTACAATACATGCATAAACATCATGATTTTCAGCTGCAACCAAAGCTATCAATTTTCCTTATTTCTCTGTTTGTGTTGTTCAGTCACCTGACACTCTAAAGTAAAATAGAACGAAAAGGAAAGAGGAGAGAAGCTCACATGATCTCACAGTCCATGTTACAGGTGGAGGTGATGGTGCCAGGTTTGCTGAGGTGGTGGCAACGTTGGTCAGAGACCACATGGCCATCGTCCTCCCGGATACACTGCACCTTCTTCTTCTTCTGGCCTGGAAGACAAAAAAATGCCATGGTATTAAAAAATTCTGGCCAAAGTGGCTGGGTTCAAACCACAAGGTTAGGCACATGTAGATCCTTCACCTTGTGGACATGTTGTACTGTTAGGCAAAACCCTATATGCCCATATAAGGAAAACCAAACAAAATGTAGTGTAGTTAGGCAAATGTTGCCAACCTTGTAAATGTTTTGAATCTGCGGTAAACTTCTTTCAGGAGCCCTAGAGCCCAGGAGCTGGCCTCCATAGACTCTGTTAACAGTCTGGCATCCAGGCTACCTTTTGCGGGTGGTTCAAGTTACAACAAGACACCTTCAACTCTACTACTCCCACCAGACAAAGGAGAACCTCACCTTGGCAGACCTTGCTGCACTCCCCCCACGGCCCGTTGGGATCCCACCTGAACTGTGGCTTCTCCACAGGGAAACTGTAGGAGTAGCGGATGTCTGGAGGGTACAGCTTCCCTACAGACAGAACCTGGCAAAGACAAAACACATGATAACCATCTACATCTGTAGAAGACATTGTAAAGGTCCTATACTTTTGTTGTGTCAGTTTATTTTATCATTACATATAATTATCATATATTTTTAATAGGCTGCCTTACCATGACTACAATATCCTCGTCAATGCGTTTGGTCCCGTTGACACGTTCGATGGCATTGTCGGAGCCCGAGTACTCCAGCACTGCAGGTCCTGCCACCCTGATCTCCCTCTTAAACATGCTGACAACAAAGTTCCCGTTCAGGATGTACTCGCCATTACTTCTTCTCAGGGCTGAGGTGGGAAGATAAGACGCTGTATTAACCATCAGATGCGTGTGTGGTGCCAAATTTCCATTGGTTATGGGGTTAGGTAGGAGGAAGAAGGTTAAAATTGCTTTATCTTGGCAGTTTAGCCACGCAACATTTGGTTTATGGCAATGATTGTAAAAAAAGGTGCTCCAAACAATGAAACTTATAAACAAATAAATAAGAGCCATCTTAATTGTCATTAAAGTTGGATGCTGGTAACCGTCCGCACTAGTCACACCAAGACCTACCGAGATAGTTGTCATCATCCACACGTCCGTAGTAGCCATGCTGCCTGATGTCAATGTTTGTGGCCCCACGAGGGATGGTGACAACATCATTGTAACCTGGGAGACAAACAAATTCACAACATGGATTCAGTTGGATGGTTTTAGCATACATATAGATACATCCAGAATACTACACAGTGCATTCCACATCACCTGAGGTATAAGTCCAACCCGCAGGAGACTATCGATAGTTGGCTCTTAATGTATAATTTTCCAAATTCCTGAAGCCTTTTTTAATTTCTGCTTGATAAGACCACTACAACCATAAGATGGTTTCTACATTGATGAAAATTTTCCGAATTGTACAATAACAAGGGAATTGGTAGGTTAAGGTAACCTGACAGATAGGTTAAAAGTAACCCATGACTTCTAGGGTGAGACCTGAAACCGCAAGTTTGGCCTCTAGCTGGGTGGCTGGCTGATTCCATGCTTCAGATGTCCTTTGTAGTTATAGGAAACATCAGTGGCACAACTGATACAGATCTGCCTTCTACCCAAATCTGAGGGAGGAAGGAAACGTCTGCAGTTCTTCCACCACCTTCATCAATCCTCCCTCTCCATTTTGGGTGGCACAAGGTCTTGACCTTGTGTCTTCATGTTCCCCAACATAGGATAAAGACAATCTACATCATTTTGTTAAGTTAATAACTTGGCCTTGAAGACTTGTACGTGTAAGCTGTCAGACTTTTATAAGGACGGCCCTTGAAGATCGAAGAAAGTTGCAGACAAATAAACATTGTGACCTGTCAAACCAGCTAAGATTTTTTAGGAATCTCAGGAAAAACTATTGACAAAATTTTTTTGTCACTTGATTTTTGCAGTCTGCATAGATACATAAAGATGATATTTGTGAGGGCTAACAAGGTAGAAGAACAAACAAGAGACATACAAGAATGGGATATCTACACCACCTATACATGTAAGTGAACACGAACTTCAGCTTTGGGACTTCTTAGACAAGAGGTTGTGGCCTACGTGCCAACTAGCTTGTTCTCCAAGATTTTCAGAAGGACGACGAGAAGACCCTCACACATAGCTGACAGGTAACCATAGTAACACATTAAATCAGCTGAGATTTGTTACACTTTCAGGAAAAATATTTAGTCAGAACACGTTTCTTTGTCTATCACAACAGACCAAATGCACAAACCCAGTTCAGACGGTTTACCGAGTCCTGACAAAGAACAAGAGCTGGTCATTCTTGGACCGACATGTGTAAACTATAGCTGATTATAGACTTCCTCTCAGCTGTTGGCTAGGGGACGTGTCCACCCACAGCTCTAAGCTATGAGTGACATCGGAAAAACACCTGGTGATTGGAACTGCACAGCTGCATCTATTTTCAGGACAATCAAGGACACCTATATGTTTCTATATTCAACTCGGAAGGACTTCTATAGATAGAGGTTTCACTTATAAAAGACTGACACCTGTCACCAGATGGACAAATCTCGATGACAATCAGCTCACAACAACAGTCCTATCCAAAGATTTTGAGAATGATGGACTTCATTGTCCTTGAGTAACGTGTCCCATTTTGATATTCTTTATCTCAGTATTGCAGTGCAAGCATGTCTAACCCTTGGAAGATGGGGAACAACAGACGATAAACCGGACAGTGAATGAGTGAGTTATTACCTTTTCAGTAACTTAAGCATGCATTGCCCTTACAAGGAGCACCCCAGGCTAACAGATCTATAAGTAGTTACAGAGATTACTGTAGGTACAAATCAAGGAGCCTATTAAACGTGATTGTCAGAACAGTTCATGGGTGATGGAAGGGAATATTATTTCAATTATCATGAATGGAATCTTTCAAATATGTAATTATGTAAACATTGTAAAGGCACAATTTTCTTGTTCCCAATGTCTAATATATCAGCCAAAAATAGGTCACCTTTTCAAAGAATAGACTGAGAAATTCAGTTAGTTGACCTTTTGTGATCTTGGAACAAGCTGTGAAGCCAAGACTAATAAGATTTTCCATGTGTTTTCCATACAGTTCTGTGTGTCCTTCTCTTTATGTAGTTCTGATGGACATGTTGGCTGCATGCAGGCAATGAGGCAGGATTCCAACACCTGTAAAAAGCTTTCCCTGGGCCAAAAATCCTAAATGTTTTATGTTTTCAGTTTTCTGTAAAACTTCTTCTGACACATTGTTAGCAGTAAGACTGTCATATGCTGCACCTGTAATTCCAACTTGAGGCAACAGGTGGAGAGGTTGTGGGTGTTTCAGTATCAGCCTGTGCTACTTACCATACTGGATGAGGTTGAATGTTCCGGCTACAGTCTTGCAGGAGGAGTTATCACCACCGCACACCCCACACTTGTCTCGCCGAGCCTTCGAGTTCAGAACCCGGTCACAGCCCGCTCTCTGGGGTGGAACACAGGGGTATATAATGATATAATACATGTGTGTGATATATAAAACACAAAGGTAACATTTTGGATTACCAGCAAATTTTACCTACCAATTTTCTATCCCCTTCAGCACCTTTATTTTTAACTTAATTCAAGGACAGTGCTACTTTGAGGAATGCAAGGCCTTCTAGACTCATTGGCTGAAAGTAGACATGTGCACCTACCTAATATGCAGTCAGAGCACTTTTATTTTATTTCATTATCATTATCATTTATCTCCTCCCTTTATGTTTGCTATTGCCAGCAATGGGTACTTAATACTGTCTTTTGAGCAATGAAAGTCAACCCTCTTTCTGCTGACTATGCCTGTAACATCCTCAAAGACAGGAATGTACCTGTGAGAGATCCCTTCAGAGTCTGTTCTGAGTCCAGATCAGCATTGCTTTTTCAATCCTTAAAATCAGCAAATTAAATTGGTGTGGCCTTAGAAACAGATTGTTGTCATCATTGACAAGCCCAATCACCTTTAGCTGGTAAATGTTTAGACAAATAAGGGAGGAGTGAGAGGAAAGCTGTTTTCTCACAACCTTTTCAGTGAACCAAAGTCCTCACACCGTTTTCCTCGCTATCGGAGGTGGGGACTGTTTCATTTGGAGGTTAATAGGGATCAAACTGGGAGCAGATTTCAAAACATCTTTTAACTAACATGCTTGGGTCTCAAGGCCAGCACCTACAACACTTGCCAGGGGGATAAATTCAGCATCATGAGGTTGACATGCTTCCAAGTGCTGGCTATGTGAAAACAAGTTAGACCAAGGATTTGGCTGAGAATCTTTATGGTGAGTTCTTATAATATCCCATTTGCACTGGGCTGCAACTATTGAGGGACCAAACACCTCATTGGTAATTCTGCTGATAAAGAAGTGAATTTTGTAAGTTGTGTTTTCAAAGCATACTTTCACATCATGGATCATACACATAACAGTTGAAACTTTTATAGTCGTATGTCATATAAATCCAATTTTGGTTGCTCGTCATTTTGCATCCTGCAAAAAGGGAGCCAAACTGACCTCAAGTTACTTGCCAAGGAAATAAATTCAGCATCTTGACATGCTTCCAAAGTTCCAAACGCTGGCTACTTGGAAACAAATACATCAAGCATTTGGCTGAGAATGGATATACATTTTGTAGCGAATTGTTTACTGTGTTGGAAACATACTCGGCACATGCCCTGCACACAGATATCGTTGGTGTCCGGGCCGCAGGGCGTTCCATCGATGACCTTGTTCTTGAGCCGGTAGTACGCCGTGCCTGTCGCAACACGGCAGAACAGCTTGCACCGATCCTTCATCAGGACTGGAAATAAAATGTACAGAAGGTTAATATTTGTAACAGTTACAGGTCAAAGTTCTGTCAAAAACAAAATCTCACAATGATCATGATTAGACATTTTTCAACAAGGTCTAATAAGGGTTGGCAGTAGAATTATGAGAGGTGACATTACATGACTTTAACAAGCTGAGAAACAATTCTGATATGATTCAAATTTAAGACCTTTGGCTGGGAGGTGGTTAGACCTCAAGGTCATTACCTGTCATTACAAATGGTTAGGAGATTTTGACCTTGGGTTACAGATCTACAACTCACTGCAGGTCAAGGTTCAGGCATGTGGACACGTGACCCTCACAGAGACTTGTTGGTCAAGCGGAGAGAACAGCCAATAGTTTACACTGGTCACTTAAGATTTAGAAAGGTACATGTACTATAAGTCATGTTTAAAATTCCAGGGGCGCCATGTCAGGAGCACTATATTTCAACTTGTTACTGTACCAAATTAACAGCCTGTACTGTAAAGTTTTGCATTGACAACATTGTTACCTCCATGAAATGGAAGGTATTGTTTTTGGCGCGTCTGTGTGCGTGTGTGTGTGTGTGTGTGTGTGTGTGTGTGTGTGTGTGTGTGTGTGTGTGTTGTTGTTCGTTTCGTTTCGTTT